TATTTTTCAAAAGTTTCGCTTTTTCCCATGGATATTTTGATCGGCGTGGGGCAGCTAGGCCTACTATGGTCCCTTCATTCATTTCATTGATAAGTTACTGTTGGCATATGCCAGGGAATCAGCCAACCCTCATTTTGATTGCAAATAGCCTCCAAAATGAATGGACATCCTGTGGTTGCTAGTGGCATTTTGGTATTAGAAACAGCCTTGCAAACCGCTAAGTTATTATTGACATTTGGTCCAGTTGTGGTACTGAAATGGAACGTATACGACTCTCAGTAGCCTGAAATATTCCCTTCCAGTTATATTAAATTTTATCTAATTATTTTTGAAATAGATATTTTTTTGAACCTTTTTTTTGAAATTTTTTTTTGAGCCTCTTTTTACGTATAATATTCTTCCTTTTTGTAAAATTGGTTTTCCATCTGCTATTTACAAACAATCACGCTTCGGTACTACCAGAAAAATTACTTACGAACTCCCTGCTTCTCTAGTTGAAAGTGAAGACGAGGAAGGTTTTGACTTCTTTGATTCATTCGATTTTTTCGATGGCATCGAAGTAGGTGATCCGTATTTCGACACGTCAGGTACTGAATACTTAGATTTGTACGACTATGATCCTCATACATTGCCTCGGCTGATTTTTTGGGTTCTGATTGGAGACTGAGGAAAAAAAAACGGTATGTTTTAAGCACAGTTGGTGGAACATCAGTCCTGGCAACTATTTCTAGATGGCGATAGAAGCATTGCCCAGCTACTGTTTCGTGACTTTAGGCCCCTGGCTTAGACAAACTTCTTTTGTTGTATGCACTGAATGGAACTGAATCCTGAGCGGAATTACAGGGCATGCAGTTACGGAACTCATAATCTATTCGCTGGAACTACTTCGACCACGTATCCATGCAATTGCACCAGAAGTCCGGCTTAATTTCGGGCAAAATGTCCTGACTCCTCTGATTGACAAAACTCAATCGGACCGAATACTCGAAGTTGTCGTTCGAATTGTCGATATTATGATGCGAACCAGTGAAGAGGTATAATTTTTGCTCCTTGCTTGATCCACTTTGTTTTCAGCCAGTTTTCGTTATATTGTCCTCACCGGGGACGACCATCTAGTGACTTTTTTTGAATATGTGCTGAGCAACAAAAATCAGAAGTCAGTCTGTGTTGTAAACGGAGCTTCTTTTCAAAAAAGCTTATGGACTGGAAGGGAATCGAACCACTCTTGTTCACATCCGAACGCAACGTGCTAACCACTACACCACCACTCTTTGTGCTTCAGTATTAGCTGCTGTGTATTTGTCTTTCAAGGCAGAAAACACTTTTTTTCCCTCGACAGCTTCCCACAATCAGTGTACGACTTTTTCTTTCTAGCGGCTTCTTTGTCGGCTTTTCGTGGGTTACTGGTAATGAGCTATGCTCACTTTCTATAAAAAGTGGTGGCACTCAGGAAGTAGCCCAAAAGTAAGAAAGTGCCAACCGCAAGCACCGAATCCCGAGACTGTCGGTGACT